TCATCCCTCATGGCCTGTAAATGCCTGTAAAGAAAGGATGACAAGAGGAAGAAACACAAAACAGAAATTCTGTTGTTAGTCTCTGTGGTTGGCTGATTAGTGGAAAACTAAAGCTCCAGAAGGCCAGCTGCGGTTGGCCACGTCACGGCACAGGAGGGCCGTTTGCATCCGTCTGCTGGAATTGAGTCGTCGGGCCTGGAGCTGCGGGTGGGGTGGGGAAGGGCAGAGGACACAAGGAGTGGCCCAGGGGTTCCCCATGTTGCGGGAGGAGGGTGCCCCTCCTGGGGGGAAGTTTCCCTAGTGCAAAATGTTCCTTTAGATTTGTAGGGGCCAGAGGAAAAAACACACAAACAAAACCAAGAGTGCACCTGAGGTCAGGGGTCGGCAGCTTAGGACAGACAGGTCCAGTTTGTCCTCTGCTGGGCATACCAGCGAGCTGTAGGAGCCCAAAAGGGTGCCCTCTGACCTTTCCCCTCCAACCCCCCGCACTGTCTGCTGGTCCCCCTCCCCCCAGGTGTATGCCCACGCAGGTGCCACGCTCGAGGGGAAGATGTACGTCACCTGTGGCCGCAGAGGGGAGGACTACCTCAGGGAGACACACTGCTACGACCCGGACAGCAACACCTGGCAAGCCCTGGCCGACGGGCCTGTGCGGCGGGCCTGGCACGGCATGGCCACGCTCCTGGATAAGTTGTACGTGATCGGGGGCAGCAACAACGACGCTGGCTACAGGCGAGATGTGCACCAGGTGGGTGTTCCCTCCAGCTGCCAACCTCCCGCCCTCCCAATCCCGTGAGACGGAGTTTGGGTCACAACCCTGAGTCGCCCTGTCCTGGGTTGTTTGGGGTTACGGAAATGGGGTTGTTTGGAAATGCAGATTGTCCAGCCCCACACCACACCTGCCAACCCAGGGCCACCTGTGTCCTCCTTAACGGCTTACTTATTTCTTTTTTTTAAAGATTTTCTTTTCCCACCTTTTTGTTTGAAAGAGCTGCAGAGAAAGTGACCAGAGCTGGGCTCCCATGTGGGTTCAGGGGCCCAAGTACCGGAGCCGTCCTGCACTGTTTTCCCAAGCCATTAAGCAAGGGGCTGGATGGGAAGTGAAGCAGTCAGTTCATGAAGCAGCGTCCATACGGAATGCTGGCACCACAGACAGAGGCTTAGCCTACATGCCATGGTGCTGTCTCATTTATTACTATGTTTTCTAAGTCTGGCTGTTTTCTCGCTTGAAAGGCAAAAATGAGGGGCAGGGCAGGGAGAGAAGGCTTCCACCTGCTGGCTCACTTCCCAAATGACTTGTAGCAGCAGCCAGAACTGTGCCAAAGCAGGTCAAGCTAAGGAGCCAGGAAGCCCCTCTGGGTCTCCCACGTGGGTGGCAGGGACCCAAGCCCGTAGACTCTCAACCACTGCTTTCCCAGGCTCGTTAGCAGGGAGCTGGATCAGAAGCGGAGCAACCGGGACTTGAACCGGAGCTCCAGTATGGGATGCTGGCGTCATAGGTGGTGGGCTAACTGACTACGCCACAACGCCAGCCCCAGGAAGGGTAAGATGTTGGCAGCTCTCGGTGCGGATTGCCGAACCGCTGCCCACGTGGCAGAGGAGTGACGCACGGCCGTGTGACTGCCCGTGCCTTCCTCCCTCTGCCATCAGATCCAGCCTGGGGTCCTGTGGGTTTCTTTGTTTTTGCTTTCTTTTTCTTCCCCCAGTGGTTGAGGTTGGCAATCTGTCCAAGGTTTTTTTGTCGTTGTTCCTGCTTACTGGTGGGTTGACCATTTTCGTGGTCACAGTTCCCTGCTGTGGATCATTTCAAAATCAGAAAAAAAAAAAGTGGAGATGGTGGTGATGAATCATCAGCCGACCCTCTGCCCACAGGGACAAAGTGGAGAGGCAGTGGCCTCTGGACACCACAAATGACAGTGTCTTGGGAGGTGACCCCCACCCTGTGCCCCGAGGCCGGTGTGGCCTGGAGGAGGGGCTGTGTTGTGGGTGAGGCAGGCCCTGGCTGCTGCCTAGGACTGGGCAGGGGGTCACCCTGGCCCCCCACCGTTCCTTGGGAGGGGTGGACGCCAGCTAGCCCTCCCCCTGGGCTTGACCCCGACCCTGACACTCACCTCCCCCCCACCCAGGTGGCCTGTTACAGCTGCACCTCGGGACAGTGGTCGTCCGTGTGCCCACTGCCAGCCGGCCACGGCGAGCCTGGCGTGGCGGTGCTCGACAACCGGATCTACGTGCTGGGTGGCCGCTCGCACAACCGCGGCAGCCGCACGGGCTACGTGCACATCTACGACGCCGAGAAGGACTGCTGGGAGGAAGGGCCGCAGCTGGACAACTCCATCTCGGGCCTGGCGGCCTGCGTGCTCACGCTGCCGCGCTCCCTGCTCCTCGAGCCGCCCCGAGGCACCCCCGACCGCAGCCAGGCCGACCCCGACTTCGCCTCCGAGGTGATGAGCGTGTCCGACTGGGAGGAGTTTGACAACTCCAGCGAAGACTAGGGCGACCCGGATGCGGGGCCCCTGCCACTTTCCCCACGCCAGCCGTGGTGGGGGCTCAGGCCGATGCTGGGGTGCAGCTGACAGCCCAGGGAGGCGCTGGACCTGGGGTCCCTCGGGCTCCAGCTGGCTCGGCCTTTGGGGCCCCTGCCACAGCCCCCAGCCCTGTCCCTGCTGGCCTGAGAGAACTTCCTTCTGCCAGGCGACCTGGGGGCCAGCAGCCTGGGTCAGGGGGAACTTGGCACTCTTGCTTTTTCTTTATTTGCTTTTTCTTTTTGTCTTTTTTCTTTGTGTGTGTGAGTAGGGGCTGGGAGAGCCCTGCCCAGGGTTGGGGGCATACAGAGGGAATCTGGGGCCTGGAAGCCCCTCTTGCCTGCCTCCATCCCGCCGTGCCTCCCTCTCCTCCTCCCCTGGGGTTTTTCTGGCCCTGTATTGCTGATAAATGAAATAAAAGCATCTTACACGTGGTGTGTGAACTGCTTCCCGGTAGCCACGCCCCGAGGCGGAGAGGGCCATGGGCAGCATCCAGGCAGACAGTGTGCTCCTGGAGCCCCAAGGGGTGGGTGACAGCCTGTCTGCTGCCCTCTCTCGGGGGAGACTTAGCCCCACCTCCTGGAACCTCTTCAGTTCCCGTGGGAAGTCAGGGCTCCCAGCCTGAGGCCCCATGGGGGGCATGGCGATGCTCAGTACCGGTCCTGCGGTCCTGCTCCGGCACCTCCACCAAGGGCCGCCCTGCTGGCCTCTGCCTGGCTCCTCCCCACTCCCAGCCCAGCCCCTGACACCCGAGGGGACTCTTGGGCACTTTGTCCCAAGGGCTGTGGCTGGTACCTCAGAGAGGAGCCTGCCCTGTCCCCAGTACCAGGGCCCCATGGATGCACAGCGGCCCGCAGGTGGCTGGGACTCACGAGGCCCCTTCATCCCTCTAGTCAGCTGGGCTGAGAAAATGCCTGGACAGCTGAGTCTTGCAGATGCTTGTCCCAGAGGATGGCATTGGGCAGCTGTTGGGGCTCTCCTTTCTGGTCCACCCCACCCCATGCTGCCCTTGGCATTGTCACCTGCCCCTTGTGTCCAGTGTGGGACAAGACATCACACACTTTGGGGACATCACACACCTTCGGGCAAACCTCATATTGAATCCCCTATTGGTCACCTCTGGCAGGGTGACCCCTAGTGAGGGCCTGGCCACCCTCAGCATGCTTGACCCCCTCCTTGCCCAGGCTCCTCTCACCCTTCAAGATACACATCTCCTCCTCCAGGGAGCCACCCTGTCCTCAAGTTACCTGCAATTGGGGGGGACTTTGGTCTGGGGGCCACACAGCTGGTTTCGTCCTACTGTCCGTCTAGGCACTTAAGCCTGGCACACAGATACCAGGGCCAGAAAACAGGGCTGGGACAGACTGTGCTGCGGGCTGGGCCACAGGGGGAACCTCTGCTGGCAGCTATAGGGGGCACCCCCAGTGGGAGTGTCCCCACCGCACACCCCCACACACACCGCAAGGGCAATAGTGAGGTCAGATCGGGGGGTGTGCCCAGGTCAAGCTGCCCACAAGTGGCGGGCCTGTTTACTTGTCCAAGGAGAAGTGTTTGCATTTGCCACCACACTGGGCTGACCCCACTGCTGCCTCCTCGCCACACCCCAGCTGAGGGCCGGCTGAGCTGGGGCCTGGGGAGCCCACTGCCCACGCTGCCCCTCCACCGGAGTTCCCCTCCCACCATCACCCCCACGTCCTTGACTTCTCCGAGTGCCCAACCTCTTTGGACCTGTGGACCCCTGGGTATGCCACCCCCTCTCCCTGCTTCTCCCAGCCCCTCCCCAACCTCTGCTCCACACTGGCGGTGTCCTCACCCTTATCTGCACCAGGGGGACCCGCGTTCTCAGCCTCCCTGCTGCCTTGGCACTGTGCCCTCCAGGGGTCCCACAGCTTGCCCTTGCACTATGGTGCTGGCTCCCAGGTGCCCCAGCCCCCTCCCTGTGGATCCCCCTGCCCAGGGCTCCCGCGGTCCCCTTCTGCCCTCACCTCCACCAACCTGTCAGAGCTCAGAGCCCACTGGTCCACCCACACTACATCCCTCCTGCGTGTCCACATGGACTCCCTACCGAAGCCCCTCTGGAGAGCCGAGAGGCACCCCCCAACGTGGGTCATCCTCCCCTAGCTGATTTCATGGCCACGGGCTGGGGCGGAGCAGTGTCGCGCCCGCGTCCCTTTCTGTTCCCGTGCAGGGCGCGCTACGCTACGTGGCTTCTCCCCTGGGGTGCCTGGGAAGGGGAAAGGAAGGGAGGGGACGGCGCGGGAACGCGGGACTCCTCGCGCGGGTCCCCGCGGCGCCGCCTCCAAGTTGGTTCTCCTAGTCGGTCCCCCAAGTTGGTCGAGTGGCCGCGTGGGGGCGGGGGCGGCGGCGCGGCCGGAGGGTGGGGTCTGGCGCGCGCGGGGCGGGCGCTGCCGCCTGGCCGGCCGCGGCTGGCCCGGGCTCAGGGAGCCGATGTGGAATTTCCTGCCCGGCCCCGCGCCCCTCCTGCCGCCCCCCGCCCGGCCTCGCACTCGGCTTCCGGCCGCTCTCGCTGCGGCCGCACCCGCGCCCGCGCCCGCCCCGCGCCTGCCCCGCGCCCCGCATGGAGGGCGCAGGGGCCCGGGGGGCCGGGCCGGCGCGGCGCCGGGGATCCGGGGGCGCCCCGCCGCTGCCGCTGCTGCCACTGCTGCTGCTGCTCTGCCTGCTGCCGGGCCCCGCGGCGTCCCAAGAGCTGAACCCGCGCGGCCGCAACGTGTGCCGCGCGCCCGGGTAGGAGCCCGGCCCGCCTCGGGGAGCGGTGGTGCGGGGGGCGAGGTCGGGGCGTGTCGGGTCCCTTGACCGCCCTTGCCACACCGGATCGGTTCCGAGCGGAGACTCCAGGCAGGGGCCGGAGGGAGTGACGTGGGAGATCCGAGGGGTGACAACACGGTGTCCGAGGTTCCCGTCGGGCCAGCTGTGGAGTTCGCACGGGGGAGACCCCGGAACGGCATGTGCGAAGGCCCGGGGACGGGAATGGAACTGGAGCCGTTTGGGGAGAAGGAAGAGGAAGAGGGAAAGATCGACGTTTCCCGAGGTGGCGGCCGTGGAGATGGGTGTGTGTGTGTGTGGATAGACGCATTTTGGAAAGCCAAGTGTGGGTTCTACCAAGCGCGGGCACGAATGACCGAGGCGGACCACGAGGGATTTGGGGGATGGGAGGACGCGGGACCCCTCACCGCGGCGCCCCCAGTTGTGTCTGCTGGCTGCGTGGTAAAACCCGCAGAGAGATGCGCGCCACGGGGACCCTCGGCGGCGTGGGACACAAGTCCTGCTGGATAGCGTTGGGCGGGCCTCGGGCGCTGCTGCGGAGCCGAGGCCCCGACGCCAGGCGGGCCGGTGGGCCGGGCGAAGGCGCCACGGCAGCGTCCGGGACATCCTCGCGTGGGGCAGCCGGGGCGCGCGCAACGGCGGAGGTGGAGGAGGGCGGGCGGGCGCGGGGGGCTCGCGGCAGACAAGAGGCCGCCAGGGGGGCCCCCGGCGGGGTTTCCGAAGCCGCGCAGACCCCTCCCCGCTGCCAGCCCCGCCTCCGGGGCGTAGGGAAAGGGGGGCGCCATCTGCTTCGCATCCCCGCCGCCGCTGCCGCCTCGCCGGCCTCCCCGGCCCCAGGAATGCGGCGGCCGCGCCGGGCGGGGCTGCGCCTGGAGATGGCGGGGGCGGCGTGGGGCTATGGTGGCCCGCGCCGGCCGTCTCGTCCCGTGTCCGTGGATGGATGTGGTTCCTGGAGTGGGCCCAGCTCTTGTGCTGGACACCCCCTGCTGGGCTGTGTGGGCCTCAGGAAAGGCGCTTTACTTCTCCCAGAGCTTGGAAAAGGCGGTTTGCTGTGTGCTGTGCGCGGGTCAGTGCAGCGCCCGGTGGCCGATATGTCCTAGGGTACTTGACAAGTATTGTGGGGAAATGGAATCCTAAATTTTTGGTGCAAAGAAGTTTTCTGGAAAGTTCAAGGAGGATGTGCGTTATTTAAAAACTATGCATGGATTTCCATTTTTTTTTTTTTGCACCAAAATAAACTTTTTTTTTTTTTAAAGAGGCAGAGAGAGAGAGCGATCCCCTATCTGTTAGTTCACTATCCCAAATGCCCACGATGGTCAGGGTTGACCCTGGGGGCCAGAAGCTGAATCTAGATCTAACCACGGCAGCCATTGTCACCCAAGCTGCAAATGGAAGCTGTGCAGGATCCTGCCACAGGGGACACAAGTCTCCCAAGTGGAACTCTGTCCCGGCACACACACACACACACACACACACACACACACCCCATAGAGGGGGTGGTGGTGGGGGTTGTCTGCCCTCCGTCCCGAGGCCGTGGGCTGTTTCTCCTGGGTCATGGGATCTCCAGTCGGCTGGAGGGTACTTTACAACAGGAGATGGAAGCAGAGGTGGCTGCCCAGTTTCAAAGGCAGAAGGAGGGGTCAGACTGTGCTCATCAGTGATGCCAGCACTGAGGAGTAACTGTGCGGTAATGCAGCAGACAGAGATCCGCTGGTTCACTCTTAAGATGCACACTATGTATAAGGCTGGGCCGCACTGAAACCAGTCCAGGAACTCAGCCGGGCGGCTTCCACGCAGGTGGCAGCTGGAGGCTGTAGGGGAAGCGTAGTGGCCGCGCAGCCCAGGGGATGGTCCAGGCTGCGGTGCGTGGGCCTTGTGTGGTTCAGGGTGGGTGTAAGGCTCCCCAGAGGCGTAGCACCTGGATCTGCAAGCCAGGCTGCCCTGGCAGGGTGGCCTGGACATTACTGAGCAAGGGGAAGGTGGGATTGCAGGAGGCCTGAGGGACACAGCCAGAGGCCAGACGGATGCCCCCCGGGGCAGGAGTGGAGCACTGTGAGGCAGAGATGCCTCCTGGGACAGATGTGGAAGGGAAGAGGGACCCGCAGGGGACCATGAGCTGGCTTTGGGATGAAACAGCCTGTGGCCCTGTTTCCAGGCTTAGGTTCCTGTCACTCTTACAGGAGACCCAGACCGAGTTCCCTCCTCGGCTGCTGATTCCAGTCTGATTTCTTTGTAGCGAGAAGAGTAATGGAAAGGAGCTCTTTCTTTCCAAAGCAATAAATGAATAAACACATTTAGAGAACCTCAGGGCCTACGACATGGCGAAGTAGGTTAGACCTCTGCCTGTGGTACCAGCAACCATATGGGCACTGGTTTGAGTCCCAGCTGCTCCATTTGAGATTTAGCTTCCTGCTCATGTGCTTGGGAAAGCAGTGAAGGATGGCTCAAGTCCTTGGTACCTCGCACCTACTTGGGAGACCTGGAGAAAACTTCTGGCTGCCCCAGCTCTGGCCACTGGGGCCATTTGGGAAGTGAACCAGCAGATGGAAAGAGCTCTCTTTATTATTTTCTTTAAAATATTTTTATTTTTTATTGCAAAGTCAGATATATAGAGAGGAGAGAGACAGGCGGAAATCTTCCATCCACTGATTCACTTCCCAAGTGGCTGCAACGGCCGGAGCAGAGCCAATCTGAAGCCAGGAACCAGGAGCTGCTTCTGGGTCTCCCACATGGGTTCAGGGTCCTAAAACTTTGGGCCGTCCTCGACTGCTTTTCCAGGCCACAGCAGGGAGCTGGATAGGAAGTGGGCCCGCCAGGATTAGAACTGGCGCTCATATGGGATCCTGGAGCACGTAAGGTGTGGATATAGCTACTAGGCTACCGTGCTGTGCCCAGCCATAGCTTTTTCATCATACACATTTTCCGTGAACTTTGCAAGACTCCCCCTCACTCCAGTGTCTCCATTTCACAATCATTTAGGCCTAAATACATTTCACTTTTCAGTTTCCCGTTTCCCCTGTCATGTTTCTCCAACCCGTGCTCTGGGAGGGAGCCCTGGGCTCAGAGAGGTTAAGCTCCAAATCTGAGCTCACACAGCCAGCAGCAGAGGCAGGCCTCTGAGCCAGTGCCCAGCTGCAGGGCCAGTCCAGGGTTCAAGGCCAGGCAGAAGCAGCGGGAGGTCATGGGCCAGTAAGCCAGTGCCCAGCTGCAGGGCCAGTCCAGGGTTCAAGGCCAGGCAGAAGCAGCGGGAGGTCATGGGCCAGTAAGCCAGTGCCCAGCTGCAGGGCCAGTCCAGGGTTCAAGGCCAGGCAGAAGAAGCAGCAGGAGGTCATGGGCCAATGTGCTTCGGTCTCCCTGGACACCCTCCTTTGGCCACCCTCCTGTGGTGGTGGGGGGTGGTCAGACGTCAGCAGAGCCTGGAGGGTCGCAGGAAGGTTGGGGGAGCAGCTGTAGCCTCTTCCCCATATGTCCCCTCTGCCACGGCTTCCCCCCCTCCGCTGCATCCCGCTCCCAGACTCCTGGCCTGGCCTGAGACCAACAGTGCTGTCCTGTGGGACTTCACACCCCTCCAGTCCCTCCTCCCCCACTGTGACCACTCCCTGCTCAGCGCTCCCAGCCCACAAGCCCCTTCACTCCCAAGGGGTCTTCCCAGGCCCCCACACACCAAACTTCAGAGCAAATCTGGGCAGTCCAGCCCCATAGTCCCCACCCACCTCCTGGGCTCATGGGGGCTCTTGGCAGGTCTCGAGGCTGGGACAGGCTAGGGGGACCCTTGAAGATGCGGTGGAGGGACTAGGGCCGTTAGGGCCCGTTTGTGGGGCTTCCTCTGCCACCCAGCAGGGTCTGTTCTCCCAGTGTTTCATTCAGCGCGAGTCTCCTGCGCCTGCACTGCGGTGCACCCACAACGAGGGTCAAGGGTCGGGATAGCTGGCTCCCTGTGCGCGGCCTGGGGGCTCAGCGTCCTCTCCCAGCATGCCAGGGTCGGGAAGCAGGTTCTCAGGTTCAGGCGTCCTCCCTCTGCCCGCAGCTCCCAGGTACCCACGTGCTGTGCCGGCTGGAGGCAGCAGGGAGATGAGTGTGCGATCGGTGAGTGGGCCTCCCCTGGGGGAGCAACTTGGGGAGCGGGGAGAGGACGCTCGTGGCAGCTCGGCTCTGTCTGGTCTGCAGCGGTGTGCGAAGGCAATTCCACGTGCTCGGAGAATGAGGTGTGCGTGCGGCCCGGCGAGTGCCGTTGCCGCCACGGCTACTTCGGCGCCAACTGCGACACTAGTGAGCACGGGGCGGGTGCTGGGCGAGGGGTCGGGGTCCTGGAGAGGGGAGGCGAGGCCTCGGAGGGGCGGGAGGATGGGTCGGGGCTGGGACAGGTGGCCTCTGGCTGGGTACGGGGAGGGGCGTGCTCCTGCATTTCCAGCCCAGGCTTGTCCTCCCCTGCCCCACAGAGTGCCCGCGCCAGTTCTGGGGTCCTGACTGCAAGGAGCTGTGCAGTTGCCACCCACACGGGCAGTGCGAGGACGTGACGGGGCAGTGTACGTGTCACGCGCGGCGCTGGGGAGCGCGCTGCGAGCACGCGTGCCAGTGCCAGCACGGCACGTGCCACCCGAGGAGCGGGGCGTGCCGCTGCGAGCCGGGCTGGTGGGGCGCACAGTGCGCCAGCGCGTGCTACTGCAGCGCCACGTCGCGCTGCGACCCGCAGACGGGCGCCTGCCTGTGCCACGCGGGCTGGTGGGGCCGCAGCTGCAACAACCAGTGCGCGTGCAACTCGTCGCCCTGCGAGCAGCAGAGCGGCCGCTGCCAGTGCCGTGAGCGCACGTTCGGTGCGCGCTGCGAACGCTACTGCCAGTGCTTCCGCGGGCGCTGCCACCCGGTGGACGGCACGTGCGCCTGCGAGCCCGGCTACCGCGGCAAGTACTGCCGGGAGCCGTGCCCCGCCGGCTTCTACGGCCTGGGCTGTCGCCGTCGGTAAGCCGGGGAGATGTGTGGTGCGGTTGGGGTTGAGCGGGCGGCCGGTGGCAGCGGCGGTGGCGGCTCCTCACTGCGTCCTGCCTTCGCACTGCCCTCTCACCTCCCCCGTCAGGTGCGGCCAGTGCAAGGGCCAACAGCCGTGCACGGTGGCCGAAGGGCGCTGCCTGACGTGCGAACCCGGCTGGAACGGAACCAAATGCGATCAGCCGTGCGCCACCGGCTTCTATGGCGAAGGCTGCGGCCACCGCTGCCCGCCCTGCCGCGATGGGCACGCGTGCAACCACGTGACCGGCAAGTGTCCGCGCTGCAACGCGGGCTGGATCGGTGACCGGTGAGCTGGTCGGGGCGCGCCCCTTCCCGTGGTGCCACCCCCTGCCCGCGCACGCAGGGGGCCAGGGTGAGGCCTAGTGGACCTGGGCACTGCTCAGCCCCGCGTCCTCCTGGTTCCCAGGTGCGAGACCAAGTGCAGCAATGGCACTTACGGCGAGGACTGCGCCTTCGTGTGCTCCGACTGCAGCAGCGGCCACTGCGACTTCCAGTCCGGGCGCTGTCTGTGCAGCCCAGGCCTTCACGGGCCGCAGTGAGTGACCCTGGGCTCAGAATTGGGGGGTGGGGGGGACTGGAGGATATACATCTGGAGAGGGGGTTCAGCAGGACCTAGGGGCTGGCGGGCGAGGGAGGTGGGACCAGGCTGACCTGCGTCCTGGGCCCCCTTCCCCAGCCAGGGGGCGGGCCGGTGACGCAGCAGGGGCCTTTGCTTAGCCTGGAGTGGGTGGCCATTTCAGCCGGTGGCCCAGTTGGGCTCCCGAGGTTACCCGAGTTCGTGTCCAGCCAGGGCTGAGGTGAGCAGCTCTTGCTGTCACCCTCCCAAGTTTCAGCCCCAGAAACGAACAACCGAAGCCTCTGCAGGCTGAAAAAAGCTTTTTTTTTTCCAAAAAAGTATGCGGGAGACCTTCAGTCCCTACACAATGGAGCCCTGGGGAAGGGGCCAGGGCGCAGGGGTACGCCCTGCCCCGCCTGCCCTGACCCCACGCTCTCCCGCAGCTGTAACCTGACTTGCCCGTCTGGGTTCCACGGGGTGGACTGCGCCCAGGCCTGCAGCTGCAGGGAGGACTCGTGCGACCCGGTCACCGGCGCCTGCCGCCTGGGTGAGTGCGGCGAGGACGTCCGCTGAGGGCTGACAGCAGACAGGGCAGCGGCGCGCCTCCTGCGCTGACCGGCCCACCCCTGTCCCCTCCAGAGACCAACCAGCGCAAGGGCGTGATGGGCGCGGGCGCGCTGCTCGCCCTGCTCCTCGGCCTGCTGCTCTCGCTGCTCGGCTGCTGCTGTGCCTGCCGCGGCAAGGACCCGGCGCGCAGGTGAGGCCCCCAGGCGCCCGGGGTCTCCCCGAGGTTCTGCCCGGAGCGCGGGCTGCGGCCCGGACCCCGCCATGCCACCTCCGGCCCTGCCCGGCTCCTAGATGGACCGCCCCATGCCACGCCCCTCCGGGCCACGCCCCTCCGACCCTGCCCCTAGATGGACCGCCCATGCCACGCCCCCTCTGGACCCGCCCCATCCGGGCCACGCCCCTCCTGCCCTGCTCCTAGATGGACCGCCCCATGCCACGCCCCTCCGGCCCTGCCCCTAGTTGGGCCGCCCGGGCCACGCCCCCTCTGGACCCGCTCAGCTCCCCCATGCCACGCCTCTCCATCAACTCCTCCCGCTGAGATGGGACCGCCCCTTCACCAGCTCCTCCCATCTAGCTAGGACCGCCCCTCCGCTCAGGCTCCGCCTCCACAGGGACCTCCCGCTGGGGAGGAAGACTCCGCAGAGGCTGTGCGGGCGCTTCAGCCGCATCAGCATGAAGCTACCCCGGATCCCGCTGCGCAGGCAGAAGCTGCCCAAGGTCGTAGGTGAGGAGGGCGAGGGCCTGGGCTCGCGGGGCTGTGCGGAAAGGCAGCTGGTGTCAAGGGGTGCAGGCTCCGCTGGGAAATGCGGGATCCTTGCGTGTTGATGTGAGTGGGGCATGGGGAGGTGGGATCAGATGGGGGCAGAGGCTGCTGCTGGGCTGGGTGTGCCACAGTGTGCGGGGCAGCTGCGGGAGCCTTGGGTCCTCAGGGTGTAGGTGGGGACAGCTGGGTCCCCCCCTTCTGTAGGACTGTGCGGCTGATGGGGTCTGGGTGTGCACGTGGGGGAGAGAATGTCCTGCTGCTGGGAAGCACCCTGCTGCTCTCCTGGAAAGCCACAGGCTGGTCCCGCAGCCAGCCCACCTTACACACGGGCACCTGGTGCCAGGTTGTCCCTCCTTTCCCACTTGTTTCTTAAGTTGGGTGGAGGCGGCTCAGCCTCTGGGAAGGTGAAGGCAGAGAACCCCCCTGTGAGCAGCCAGCAGAGGGATGGATGGATCCCGGAGTGGAGGTGGTGAGGCTGGGCTGCACAGCCCCTCCATTGCAAGGCAGGCCAGATCAGGTGGGCCTCTGGCTCCCTGCTCCCTGTTGGACGCCAGAGCTGGGGAGGACAGCCCACTGAGGCTGGCTGAGATGCCCCCCGACCCCATCTTCAGCCCAGGCTTCTCTGGTTGCTGGGCTTGCATGCACCTGGAGTCCCCCTCTGCCTGCCCCAGCTGTGGCCTCCATGGGATGAGACGGGGCCACCTGGCAGCTTAGCCTCACTCCCTTCCCCAGTGGCCCACCACGATCTGGACAACACGCTCAACTGCAGCTTCCTGGAGCCACCCTCGGGGCTGGAGCAGCCCTCTCCATCATGGTCCTCCCGGGCCTCCTTCTCCTCCTTTGACACCACAGACGAGGGCCCCGTGTACTGCGTCCCCCACGAGGGTGAGTGCGGCTTGGCCTGGATATGGTGCCAAATATTCCGGGAAAGATCTCTTTATCTGGGAGAGGGTCAGGCAGCGTGGGGAGGAAGCGGTTGGATGTGGCTGTGGAAACAGGGTGCTGTGCAGCTCTGCCCTGGGGTGTGTGTGGGGGGAGATGGGTGACTCACCTCTCGCCAGGTATGGCCCAGCTTCCCCTCTGCGCCTGGGGGAGCTTTGGGGGACTTCTCGGTCTGCATCCCAGACCCAGGACAGCAGGACAAACCTACAATTCTGGCCCTTCTTTTTGCACCTTCCTCCCAGTCAGAACCTTAAAGATGGATTGTAATCCCTTTCAGGGTAAGATTTTGATTTAAAACAAAGTTGTGTTTTTATTCAAAAGGCAGAGTTACAGAGAGGGAAAGATCTTCCATTCACTGGTTTACTCCCCAAATGACTGCAACCTCCAGGGCTGGGCCAGGCTAAAGCCTGGAGCCAGAAATTCTGCCTGGGTCTCCCATGTGGGTACAGGGATCCAAGCATTTAGCCCATTCCCTGCTGCTTCTCCAGGCGCATTAGCAGGGAGCTAATGGATGGAAAGTGGAGCAACCGGGATTTGAACCAGTGCCCATGTGGGATGCCAGGGGTGGTGAGGGAGGGAGGGGTGCTTTAACCCACATTGCTGGCCTCATGGGGGTCAGGGGTGTGACTGGGGAAGGGGGTACGAGGTCACACTGACCCAGCAGCTGCACACGGTGGAGAGGAGACTCCACGTGGGTTTGTGGCAGGAGTCCCGACTCTGGCCAGGCAGGGTGCCAGGGTGCCTCCCCGAGTGGGTCAGGGTGGAGGGGACGGTCGAAGGTGTGTCCCTGCATGGGGCTGACTGTCTCGCTCTTGACCTCCCCCAGAGGCGGCAGCCGAAAGCCTGGACACGGAGGGGCCCCCTGACCCTGCGGAGGCCCCGGCACCGTCCCCCGCGCCCTTGGCCTCGCCGGCCTCGGTGGAAGAGCCGGCTCCGCCGCCTGCGTCCTCCGACAGCGAGCCCTCGGCCTCGAGCGTGGAGGGCCCCGGCGCGGCGCTGTATGCGCGCGTGGCCCGGCGCGAGGCCCGGCCGGCCCGGGCCCCGGGCGAGGCTGGCGGGCTGTCGCCATCCCCGGAGCGCAGGAAGCCGCCTCCGCCCGACCCCGCCACCAAACCCAAGGTGTCCTGGATCCACGGCAAGCATGGCAGCACGGCGGCCGCCGCCCGAGCGCCCTCGCCGCCGCCCCCGGGCCCCGAGGCCGCTCCCAGCCCCAGCAAGAGGAAACGGACGCCCAGCGACCCGTCGGCGCGGCCCGAGGCGCCCGGCAGCCCCGGGGCCCGCGACCCGACGACGCCGCGGCCGCACGGGCTGGCCGAGGAGGCTCCGGCCGCCCCGTCGCCGCCCCGAGCCCGAGCGCGAGGCCGAGGCCTCTCGGAGCTGACGGACGCTCCCGGCCCTCCGCGCAGCGCGCCCGAGGCCGCCTCCATGCTGGCCGCCGAGCTGCGCGACAAGACTCGCAGCCTGGGCCGCGCCGAGGGACTGCCGGGCGCCCAGGGGCCCCGGGAGAAGCCGGCGCCGCCGCAGAAGGCCAAGCGCTCGGTGCCGCCCGCCTCGCCGGCCCGCGCGTCCCCCGCGCCCGAGGGCTCCGCGGCTGGCTCGCCGGCCCCCGACACCCCGCGGAAGAAGACCCCCATCCAGAAGCCGCCGCGCAAGAAGAGCCGGGAAGCGGCGGGCGAGCCGGGCAGGGCGGGCGCCCCCACCCTCTAGCTCCCTCAGCTTCCCCGGCTTCGCCATGCTTACCGCCCCTGCCGCGCCCTCAGCGTCTCTGGGCACGAGGCGGCCTCCCATTGGCCAAAGCTCGGCGGGAGGCCGCGTCTCATTGGCTGAGGCTCCAGCAGCCGCTCATGGATTGGAGGAGCGTCTTCTGGCGGGAAGGCCAATCCATTCATGCCATTGGTTCAAGCTTCACCTGGGTGCTTCGAGCAGGGAGTTGTGCCCAACGGCCCTTCCTTGTATCTCATTGGCTGAGTCTAGGAAGAGCGTCCTGTTGAGACACTACCTCCTATTGGCCAAAAGTACGTGTTGGACTGGAGATATTTTCTCATTGGCTGAGGCCAGAAGCACTTCTCTCCCGGCTGCCTCTCATTGGCTAAGGCCTGGCGCCTGTGGCTGGCAAGAGGCGCCCAGCTTCCTGGCAGAAGCCTAAAGCCACGTGGACTGGGCAGGCTCGCGGGGCATCTGGTCGACCAGAGCCTGGGGAGGAGGGCTGGTCTCCTCTTCCTCGGGGGGCTCAGCGTCCCTGGGCTTAGCCCGGCCCACCCCTGCCCTACCCTGCGACCCCAGGCCTGGCCCGTCCCCTTCAGCTGTCGAGCTGGTTTTGATGGCCTCCCAGACCCACCCGCCCTGCCCCGCACGCCTTGGGGACCCCCCAGTGGCCTGAGGAGATGTATTTATAGGCCCCCGGCAGGGCTGCTCCCACCCACCCGGATGTCCCAGGATGGGCGCTTCCCGGCTGGGGTTTGGCCACAGCTTAATAAAATGCCTTTTTCTCCCTTGCTCTCCGGTTCTCTGCCGATTCCTTCCTGTCTGGGGGCTTTGGGCTGAAGGGATCCCCTCTCACCATCATAGGGGACCTGCGTGCACTTGGTGACCCTCGTCTCCCCCACCCCACACCTAAGCAGCGCTGTGGGGACTTCAGGGCCCCCGGGGAGCAGTGGGCTGTGGCCATCTGTCCTTCATCCAGCCATGCAAGATCTGCATGGGATTTCCTGCCGCTTGGGCCTGTCCCACCCCCATGGGCTGCTCACCTGGTGCCCAAGGAAACAGGCTGGGCCTCCAGGGCAGCTGGGGGGAGCCGCCTTGCAGGCTCTCTGGTCACTGTGTGGAACCCACCGGGGGAGGGTCCAGGCTGTGCCACAAGGTCTGCCTGCAGCCCCGGCCACCTCTGCGTAAACAAGGCGGCCTGGCCCCGCGCAGGGCCCTGCTGTCCACCTCAATGGGCTCCTTGTCCTCTACCGGAAACCCCACACACGCCAGGAGGAGGAGGAGGGGAACCTGCCTGGCCCTGTGCCCTCACCCCTAAGCCAGCCTCTGCCGCAGGCATTCCACTGTGCTGATGGTTCCTGCCCGTCCTCTGCCCATTGTTTAGTCCCTTGGCCCTGGCCTCCCTTGCTGCCCACGTGTCCATTGGGCTAACCTTCTCCAGCTCTCTGCCCAGTCTTCTGATGTTTTCTGGGTTGCCTGAGGAGGGGAGGGGGCTCTCCCTGAGAGGCATTCCCCCTACCCGTACCCCCGGCACCCGCGCTGGACACTGGATGAGGTCTGTTTCATGCTGCATTGCCTCTCAGCCGCCCGAGCGGAGATGGCCTGTGAGCCCTGGCCAGCGGCTGGCAGGGACACATACCCTCACGCCTGGCCTCAGCACATGGGCGAACATGGCTCTCCGTGCTAACTGGGCCCCCTTCCCCGCCTCCAGCACTGGCCCTGCAGCTGCCCAGCGCCACCAGCGTATTCGGGCACCTCGCCCGAGCTGGCTGTCCGGCTGAGAGTACAGGGCCCAAAGCCAGCCAGGAGAGACAGATGCCCGGTTCAGCTTGGAAAGAGTAAGGTGCTGACCGGGCAGGGGTGGGATGGGGGTCCTGGTGTATCACACAGTTGCTCCCTGAATTCCTTACCCTGAGCTCTCCTGCACTAGCCCAGTGGGGGGGCCGGGGGGGCATCTCCTGCTACTGCGTCCCAGTCTTGACTTGCAAGGGTCCTTCTAGGGGATCCCTCCCTCCCCTCAGCCAGCACAGAGGGTCACCTCCGTGCCTCCCCCACTCCTCTGCCGCCACCAGCTCCTCCCCCTCCCCTCTCAGGGCTTGCAGTGGTGCCAACTCCCCCGGCAGGCGCCACAAAAAGGACCTGTGGCTGCTGGAGCCTCCGTTGCCATGGCGATGTGGACCGCAGGATCCACATCTGGTAGCGATTGAGGAGGAAACGCTGTGAGTTGTGGAAAATGCAAATATTTTCTGTAGCACAGAGCACAGAGGAATGTGGGGACTGGAGCAGGGCCTGGTTTGCTGCAGGGACGTGGCTCACAGGGAGGCCCGGGCTGCATGCACACACGTGTGCACACAGTACACAACTACACACTTAGACCGGGGCACACACATTTATACTCACATGTGTGCACATATATAGTATACAACCACATATATGTGTACACACAACACTACATGCACACTTATAACTGCATATGCTCACACAGCATAACTGTACCATACATATTCACACATTATACACATATGCACACATATAGCCATGCACACACATATATGCGTGCATGTAAATTCACATATACACACATACACAAAATGTAGGGCTCTGGAGCTGCAGCATTGCAAGCTAAGTCTTTGCCTATGGTGCTGGTGTCCCATGTGGTTGCTTATTCGAGTCCTGGCTGCCCCACTTCCTCTCCAACTCCCTGCTTGTGGCTGGGAAAGCAGTGGAGGACGACCCAAAACCTTGGAATCCTGCACCTGCATGGGAGACCCAGAAGAAGCTCCTGGTTCCTGGCTTAGGATCAGCTCAGCTCTGGCTGCCGTGGTCATTTGGGCAGTGAGCCAGCGGATGGAAGATTATCTTGGCTCTCTTCTCTATAACTCTGCCAAATTACAAATAAATAAATCTTAGAAAACACACACAACCTGCACACATATACATACATGCATAAATATCTATGCAAATAACACACAAATATACTCTCTCACACACACACGCTCCACCTCACACACTGAAACACCAACATGGACACATTCTTGACGGCACACACATACACAACCTCTGACACGCTGACCCCAAGAGACAGAAGAACATGGCAATGCACACGTCACCTGACACAGGCCAGGATCTGACTTGCGCCTGAGAACCTCACAAGGGCAACACACAAACACGCAGAAACACTGTAGGACACCCCGTCTCCAGCCGCCCCCAACACACATACCCGAGACACAGGGGACAGGTCCACCGTCGTGGACACACTGGCTCCACCACAGCCAATGAAATCCTGATAGGACAATAACACGCGCCCACCCCACTGGGGCAGACACACGTGGGCACCTAGCCTTGCGCATGCCAGGATCCCAAATATGTGCCAGTTCGTGTCCTGGCGGCCCCTGTCTACCACCCAGCTCCCTGCTTGTTGAGTGGGAAAGCAGTCAACGACAGCCCAAAGCCTTGGGATCCTGCACTCATGTGGGAGACCCGGAAGAAGCTCCTGGCTCCTGGCTTTGGCTTGGCTCAGCTCCAGCCATTGTGACCACTTAGGGAGTGAATCAGCACGTGGAAGATCTTCCTCTCTGTCCATTCTCTCTGTATATCTGAGTTTCCAAGAAAATAAATAAATCTTAAAAAGAAATGAACACACAGAACTTTGACCTGGGAGTGATCATTTATCCTAGTGGCTATAGCAAGCTCAGACAGCTGTGTGCATGCAGTCCACTTCCGAGGACCTGGACGGGGTCTCTGGTTCTACTTGCGACTCCAGCTAATGCAGACTCTGGGGGGGTGGGCAGCGGCGATGGGTCCAGAACTTGGGTCTCTGCCAGCCCTGGCGTGGTTGGGGCGGGAGGAGGCGGGGAGACCTGGATGGAGTTCCCAGCTCTTGGCCTCCTCTTGCAGCTCCTCCAGGCATAAATCCGTGGCAGGCGCAACAAGGGGCAAAAGACAGTGAATGAATCTGTAGACACTGGGTGACTTGGGGCAGGCCCAGGGCGGAGCAGGAAGTTTGGGGTGGAGTGGACTTTTCACAGGGCCTTGTGGGGTTCGGAGTAATTCTGCCTGGTGGAGCGCTGCTGTTGGGCAGATGTGGAAAAAGGCAGTCCTCTCTGGGCAAGGTCACGGTGGGTCCGAGTCCAGCTGCTGAGGCCACTCACCTGTGGCTGGTCAGGCTGAAGTCCTGGGCACCCCAGGCTTTGCTATGTCCCTGGAACCTGCAGCCATCTGTTGGGCACTGAACAAATGGAAATGTCTGGTTACAGCTGGGTGCTGACCCCTCTCTGCCCGCCCCCATGCCAGGAGGCCTCCCATTGGGGGTTCAGCGACTCCCAAAGGGCCTTTGATACCTGCTGGCTCGCTAGAGGTTTCTTGGAAGCTTTTCATGATGGTTTCACGTGCGTCTGGAGAGGCGAGGTACCACCAGCCTCCCTCCCTCGGGCTGCGAATCCCCGACCATCCGAGCAGGCGGCAGGCAAGGCGAACACGGAGCCACAGCGCCCTCTGGTGGCAATCTCTCGCAACGTCCACACAACCGGAGCGTGCCAGGAAGGTGCCAGGCGGGGCTGATGGACAGCTCTGTCCACCTCACCTGCGCCCAGGTTAACCCTCCCCAAGTCGGGAGAGCCAGGTGAGGAACTCAGAGGGAGTAGCGACAGCATCTATAGCAAGTGGGGGGCTACAGTTTGGGGCACCGAATGATTTGCTGATGGGATTGTTGACATTTTCAAGCCTTTCTTTAAATATCTGAGAGGAAGAGACACCGAGCCCGGAAGACATGTTCCCTTCTCCTGGTTTATTCACTCCCTCACCCTCCAATGCCTGCCATGGCTGGGGATGGGCCAGGTCAGGGTCAGGAGCCTGGCATCCCATCTGAGTCAATCTGGAGCCATCTTCACTGCCAGGATTCCATCAAGGCAAAGGCAGGGCTTGAGCCCAGCCTGCTGAGGCGGGATTCGGGCGTCCCAGGGGCCGTGGTAACTGTGCCCACCAGACAGCTGCCACCCGGAAGC